ATTACCAGCCTTAATGGAAAAAGGTGGGCGGCTCTGCGTCAAGGAGGCGGCTCCTCATTTCCCCCGAATGGAGAATAAATCGCGCAAAAAATGATTACTGCGTCATATTACCCACAAAGGATAGAAGTGGAGGGGGAAAAAGGGGTTCTTTTCAATAAGTTTCAGGCTTCACGCCGAAAAAAAAAACCCCCCACAAAATTTAAAATGTATTCCTCTCTATATGAGCTGGTGCGATTTTGGCTCAATGCTAGGGAAAATTAAGGATCTAATCAATTGATGGAATTCCATAACCACAAAATTCTTCTTTGTGAGTAGATCAGGTAAAAAATAATTGAAACGTTTTCGTCAGCTCATTAAAATACATTTTATTACGGTTTATCCATGACCCTGACGAGACAGGATCCTTCAGAACAAGGTACAGTATAGCAATTCATGTAAAACCTGAAACAAGCCTCTGCTCTTTTGTTAATAATTTTTAAAAATTGCAGCCCTAATTTTCTAAATTTCCATTATTACATGTCAATCACTACATTTAGAATTTCTCGCGTGAGAATTTAAAAAAACAAAACAGACGTTTTACATTACGAAATCTTTTTTAGATACAGAATCGGGGATTTTCATGCATATTTTAAATGGTAAAATATTTGCGTCCTGTCAATAATGTTGGATCACACACTTAGATTTCCTGGAAATCAAAGAAAATTGGAAAAGTATTCGGAAATCTGAATTTTCAATTAATAGTTTTACAGCAGCTTTTTTATTTAAAGACTCTTTGCACTACAAAATTAACGAAAAAAAATAACAAGACAGATGAAACTCCGTAACCACAAATCTCTCAAATTCGGAATATTGAACATGATTTTAGTATATACAGTACAGTATATTATTTCTCTGAAAATATTCTTGAAATATTCTCTGTTCAATATCGGCAGTCGAAATTTACACGTTATTGCTGCTAGTTTTTCGATCGCTGGTCCTTATTTTGCTTTTCGTCTGCAACTTTTATCGAAGTGCAAATTATTTCTACAGGAATCTTCTGATGGACAGTTTCGAAAACTCTGCCATACTTTTTGATGAGACCCTCATTTTTTTTCCCTTGGGTACCTCGTAACTCATCGCGTGTGTCGCTTTCATTTCTTCATTAACCCTTGCTCCAAGATTGGAATCATTAGCATTCCTGGTGGAATTTTTTCCGCGGTTATCAGATCCTCGTAATGTAAGGGCGATCCTCTCCATATACACAACGAAAATGAGAATTGAAAATGTGCATTAAAAAAAAGCAAACCCTCTTCGTCATCCCAGGGTAATATGCATGGGATTTAATTGCTAGACGTGGGTCGAAGCTCTGGATTTTTTTCAACGTCTTCCACTCTGGTTTTTATTCCAGGGATGAGTAAGAAATTGAAAAGCCCAAGTTTACGGTTTTTTGGATTCAACAAGCTTCGGTTTTGCATGGTCGATTTCAATCTTTCGGCGAAAACTGAAGTTAATAGGATTCCTAATTTCTGTTGAACCAATCAAGTTGAACAAATATTGTTGACGAATTCTTGCATCTACGAGCTACGACAAAATCTAAAATAATTTTTGAATGTTATTCCGGAAATAAAAATGATTCTGATCACTGCTAAATTATCAGAGAAATGTAATTAGAAAAAGTTGATGATAAGTAGATAATTCTAGAGGTCTACGCCACCCAAATTCTTTATGACCAGAAGAAAGTTGTTCGTGTGAATAATTTTTATTTCAAAATTTGGTTTTTAATTGTGGAAGGTATTCATGAGATTCTGGTAATTTTCCTTTGCAGAAACTTTGAGGAAAATGAATATACTGTACCTGTTTCAGTGAAACTGCAGAAGGAATTGAGGTACAGTTAGACCCCCATATTGGGACACTTTGACATGCAGACAATTTGACATAGAGACACTTATTTTTCCATCAAAATCAATAAAAAAGGCACAACATGAGGACACTGACTCAACATAGGGACATTTTGTGATAAAATTGCACATAAGTTTCAGGCCAAATCATGAGAAACAGATATTTCCAACCTTAAAATTGATGTAAGAAAAGTTCTTTGGCATTTCTCTCACCAATTACTATAAATTTAGCTAATTTTAAAATTAACTCCAGCATAGAGAGAGTTCCTTCTCTCTTTTTCACTTGAATGTTATTTTTACAGAGAATGCCAACATTGTTATGTACTGTACAGAGGTATCAGTATTCAATTCCCCAAATGTCCATATTGCATTGAAATATATTGATTGAATCAGTTTCAACTGGGAGACAATTTCTATTTTCATGGAATTATGGTGAGTATTTTGTCCATGAAGCACCAATTAAAAATTATAAAATGCAAGTCTAATGGAAATTAGACTTGACTTAGGGCCACTCTTGATGCACCCATTATAAGTCTGCATCTTGGGGTCCCACTGTAAACGCTGCTTAATTTCTGGCAACCAGATGACGCTTCACCAACAGGTTTTTCCGTCCATGCAGTTTCTCTCCTCGTCCTTCCAGTTAAGCTCTCTTGTATATATATACCTCTTCTATTCCGAACTGCTGCTGCTGTTCTTGTACATTCTCTCGTATAGCGAGGAGGATTCGTAACAGTTCCAATTAAGTGCCGGGCTCGTAAATCCCGCTTGGGTTTCGCACCGCCCACCGGGTAATTAGATCCGCGGCCTGCGGACTCATTAGGTCGAGTTAATGGGAGAGAAAACTCGCTTCGCGTTCATCATCTTCACCCCGTTTTCTTGCACGGAATGAAGCTCTCTTTCTTTTTCTT